GTAAAGGTTCCCTTGCTCGAAAGCCAGTCGAATCCGACTCTAGGGTTGCGGTGCTCATCTCCGTTTCAAAGCCGAAGAGCCAGCGCTGTCCGAAGACGTTTCCGTGGTCATGTGGCTGGCATGACTAAACACCAAGGCGCACGGAACGCTGTTACCTTCCCTCCGAAGTGGTACCTATTTATCTACTTGCAATTTCTTGCTTTCGAACTGCTAGGTTGGCAGGAGCTGGAACTAGAGACGGGAGCTCACTCCGTCAAGCGGCACACTCGGGTCTTGAACTGCTGAACTACTGACCTTCCACAGCCTGCAGTTCAGCGTCTTAACCACTTGAGCCACCGCAGCTCCTTAATGCAGAGTTACACCCTTGTAATCCCTGTAGCTTCAGTGGACTTAGAAAAGTCTACGTCTTTTTAGAACAGCCCTGGGGACAATGTAAGAATCACCCTGTATGGTCTTGGCTCCCCATGCGAGAGCTCTTCTTACAGGGGCTACTGTAAGCTCTTGGGGGATTGGCTACGTTAGGGGTGTGTCGCCTAATATGCAAGGGAGTTCCTGCTACAAAAAGAGCTCTGAAATATACTGTTACGTTTGTGGAAATGGTTATTTAGTGTTATTTGTCAGCTTTCGGTGGATCTTCCTCTTCTTTGTATATTCAAGCTGTCACCCTCTGTGCATATATCACCTCGTACATGTTTGGCACATGACCCTTGGCTCGTACATGGGTCACGAGCTGGACAGGTCTGGACCACTGTTTCCCTCTAAGCTCCACAGCAAAAATTCTACCTTGTGAGCAAAGCCAGTATCATTAAAGTTGTGAGCGAGTCAGTGGGCCCCATAGGCTGTAATGGAGAATTGATCCAGGGGTATCTGGGGCTCGGGGTGGTGGTGGGGCTGTTTATCGAGGTAGAGGTCCCAAAAGGATCCTCCATTGTTTGTGGGCTGAAGCAGAAATCCCCTGAGCTGGCCTTGGAAATGTGGCGCACCAGCTCCCCCCTAGCGCAGCTAAGAGGGAACTGTGGTCTGGACTAAGCCTTGGAACGTCCTAAGCCTCTCCCTGCCCACCCTGGTCGTCTTGCTTCTGGTTCCGGAGGGGGTGGGGAGATGGAGAAAGGGGGCGGTTTGGGGTTTCCCCTTTTCCGTTGACAATGTTGACTGGTCGATTCTGTTTCCCTTCCCCCGTGCAGCCTCGCAAACAGGTGGAGGAGACGTCGTCCGCCGACCGCACCCTGACCCCCAGCTGCGTGGTCACCACCTCAGAGCTCAGCGGGGCCCCCATGCTGTTGAAGCCTTCTTTGGGGGGCGAAAGCCAGCCGCCCCCTTACCAGCTCCACGCGCCCCAGCTCCACCAGCACAACGGCTACACCGAATATTTTAGCATGCACACGACCGGTGCACGGCCCGTGTAGGGGGGGTCTTCTGGATTCCCTGTCTGCGGCTTCCCCGCTTCCCGTTCCTGGTTTCTCCTCCCGATTCCCCCCCCCCTTTTCCTGGCTTCCTGTATTCCCTCTTACGTCCTGACATATCAGACGGGCTATTCGTTTCCAGTTCTCCCCCCAAATAGTACAGAACCACCTCTTACCTGAGAATGTGGAGAAGCCGTATCATCTGTAAAGGGAACCAGTCCTTTTTACAACCCTCCCACCTGCTCAACGACAGAGGGAGCAAATCCTCACCTAGTTAGTTATGTCAAGGACGCCCCGAACCATGCGTCTCTTGTCTCTTTTTTTGCATGGGACAGTCGGAAGCTCCTTGGCCTTGGGGCTCGTTCCGCTGGAGGGGGGAGCTGGGGGCCGTGGCTCAGTGGAAGAGCCTCAGCTTTGCCCACAGAAGGTCCCAGGTTCAGTCCCCAGGATCTCCCCTTAAAGGACCAGGCAGGAAGTGATGTGGGAAAACTCTGCCTGAGACCCTGGAGGGCCTCTGCTAGTTTGAGTAGACAATACTGGCCCTGATGGACTGATGGTGTGATTCAGTATAAGGCTGCTTCATGTGTCCAAATGAACATGGGAAGTGGGTTTGTTTCATCTCCCTCCAATCCCTGCTTCAGCCAGAGAGAGAGAGAGGCCTGGTTCTCAGCTGGCATTTCCCTGTAGTGAATCCGACTTGAACGCCTGCAGAACCTTCACCGCGGTCAAACGATCCTCCTATTTGAACGCGGATGGGAAGAGAGAGATTGCAGACCCCAGACTGACCTTGTAAAGATGTGTCCCAAGTTTTTTCGGTATCCTTCCCATCCCGTCCTCTACGACGGCAGTGCCCCCAGGAATTCCCCCTGACCCCTTGGGCGACAGCATCGTCCTGGCCCCCCTCCCCGTGACGGTGCTGTGGGTCCTTCCCCCCGATGACGGTGATTTTCTGAAATCGGCCGGAGTGGGTTGGGTTTTTTTTTGCCAAAATAAAGAGGATTCTTGTGTTTGTATCTCATTGGGAAAGCGTGTGTCTCTTCTGGGGAACGAGCGAGCTGGAGAGGAGGAAGAGATACCGGGGCTGGGGGAAGATCTTAATCATCTTTCATGCACCTGATCGGATAGGCTGTTAACCACGGACGCCCGGCTCGGGCAGAAGAAATAAGCTGTGAAACCCGTGAGCGGCTAGAAGTGGTTAAGTGCGAGGACTCTAATCT